CACACACACACACACACACGCACACACGCACGCACGCACGCACGCACACCCACACACACACACATGCACTCACCAACTGACTCCTATTTTTGCGTTCTGATGGAGAGAAAGGTGAAGAAGAAAGACAATTTTCCTAAAGTCTTCAAGCTTTTCTCTTTGGTTTCTTTTGATTTCAGATGCAAACCAAGTGACCTCACTGAGGATGGCAATAACGAGAAGGTCAAGGTCAACTACCCAAACAGATCCGTACTTCTCCAGACTGAGGCTGTGGTGATGGAACATGGCCTGCTGCCTCCCTCATCTGTACCTTTGCCTCAGCCATCACCACCAGCTCTTCCTCCTCCACCCCCTCTTCCTCCTCCACCTCCTCAATGTGAGTCTTTTTTTTTTTCTTTCATTAAACCTTTTGTTACCAGGGGGGTATGTGTTCCTACTGTCAACACTACTTTTCAGCTAATTTTTTTGTTAGCCAGGAAAGCAGTCTCATGTCTCAGTGTTAGTGGACTCGCAGTCTAGATCTAGCCCACTCGAAACATATTTCGGACCCCGGGTCTTTGGTAGTGTCACTTACCTCAATTTTTTCATTCTATATTTACATACAAAAACTATCTTTTTCCAAAGAAAAGTAAGATCACAGGTGATCTGAGACAACAGGTAGTTCGATGACTCGAGTAGACCATTGAATATTGTCTCAAAATGAGTCAGTTCAAATACACAACCAGACCACTGTATTACCTCAAAGTGATTCCATGGAAGGAAAAGAAATAAAGTAATTCTAAGCTTCTTTCAGGATTACCTCCTTTGATTTCTTTTCTTTCCATGAAATTCTCAGCAGTCTTCTAAGAAACCACATTTCTGTTGCTTCTATTTATTTTCACTGTCTTTAGTAATTGTTGGTATATATATGTCAACAGAATGGATATTATGCTCATGCTGAGTTTATTTTGTCTTCGTGATCTCCACACAGACCACCTGAGTCATTTGATGATGTTACCAGATCCGGTCCCTGACCCATCTTACGGGACCCTGATGGACGAAGCTGCAGGCTCACAGGCAGCCATAAAGCTGGAGAAGACCAGCTACACTCCTAGTGGCCCCCAGGACATTGTCCTGATGCAGCAAGATACGACGGACCATCATCTCATGGTCAACTCTGGCTCACAACAGTTTTACAGCTACACAGTTCTTTGACCTGCGTGTCAGCACCGTCTCCACTGGACAATATCACTGCTACATGGCTACATGATAATTTGAGTTGTGGTTTTAGTTAAAAAAGAATTAAAACAATTTTTTAGTCACCTAGCTTTTGTCCTTACTTATTACTTGACTTTTACTTTTTACTTTTTCATCCTCTGTTGCTGTTGAGCGTCAAGAGGAGATGCAGTTTTCTATGGTAGGCCAGCTCTGCAGTTCTTTCAATTACAGTTTGATTCAGTCCGTGTATTCTCTTTTTTTTTTTTTTCATAGCATGGTTTTTCAGTCGTCGGCTTTTAAGGCCAGTCACGGTTTCACCAGAGCCCCTTTAGCCAGCAACGTTTCTGGGTGACCCGGGTCGGCCTTCACAGCTAGCGTAACGCCTCTGTGACATAAAGTCACTCCTTACTTCACCCAGACTCGGCTATATTCTACTTTGCCTTGTTTCCAATTCCCCCGACGAGGACAAAGGGTTGGACTTTGGGAGGCTCCTTACTTATAATCATGGGAATATATTTGAAATTATATACACATCTCTACTGCTAAATGTAAGATGCCATCATAATCATATGTTACTTTTCAAAATGGCTTATGGCGGAGTCTTACGCTAAGCAGTTGATCTATATTTTTGTGTTAATATAAGTGCTAGGCGGTGTCAATTGTGCCAAAATATCAGATTAAGATTGTTAGTAACTGATATGTTCTTGTTTCATATCTTTTTATTTGCTCAACCCTTTCAGTAGAGCTGTACCCCTGTAGCAAACACACTCGTGCTCGCAAGCCCCTAGTTCAAGTCACAAGCCTCAAATCACTAGATCAGATCATCAAATCAAATCACTAGCATGATAAGTTGAGTCTAGCCTAAGCTTCAAGTCCACACCAACTAGCAATCTGCGAAGCCACTCGTGTCAGACCCCCTCATCCTCCCCACCCTGCTTGCAATCCGCGAAGCCACTTACGTCAGAAAGAGAGAGAGGGGGAGAGAGAGAAACCCCGCTCACTATGTCACTGCGCCACAAACTAGAGCTGTTGGAGTCTGTTCGATTAATCGAAGGCTTGCGAGCAGGGGACGGCAGGCAAGTCTCCAATCCCGTTCGTAGCACAGCTAGACACTTGAGTTCCAAGACTTGCTTTGCGTCCCTGAATTGCTTTGTATCAAGGGCTTGCTCGTAGCCCGGCAAGTCTCTCGTGCCCATAATTTGCTTTGAGTCCCACTACCGCGCTCCCAGGGCAACACCGCTTGTCAGCAGCTAGAAGCAAGACCGGTAATTCACCCCACTCGCAGCATGACCTCTGAATTCTGGATGTGGAGGAAGCGAGAGCTAGGCTGAGCTGGTTTTGGTGCAAGACGGAGAGGGCCGTAATATAGCCTAGTCCAGACCGTTCGCGACCTCAGTGCTTTAACAGTGAAAATGTGACATCTTCTTAGGCTCACATTTTGTTTTGAGCTGTTTTCACTGGTATTAAAAATGGAGATACGACAAGAAAGCACTGGGGTCGTGGTATACTAATCTATTTAAGGACGCAGAATAAAGGTGTGAACTTACAAACAATTTTTAACTGACAAAGTAAATCAGTATTGTCAGCATCCCGTGGCTTTAAATTTAATCACTCGCCTAAACTACACTTCCACTCCTACCCCGACCCTTAGAACAAGTTGAAGTTGAAGAGAATGAATTGGGGAGGGGATGACAATCCGGCGCAAGAAGATAAGACATGTATGGGCTATTTTTAATTTCCCATCCTTGCTCAGCTGGGTGAGTGAATGTGGAACACACAAACACGCAATGTTATGAAGAATAATATACTACAATAGGGAAGCTCTGCTCATTAGGTTACTGAAACTGGCCTTTGTGTCATTCATACATGAGCGGTCCATTATCAATTTTTAGGGGTGTAGCATTCAGGAGTGTTCCGATGAATACTTTTTCTTTCATTAATTGTCAAAGTAGATCATATGAATTATCGGTTGTCTGTAGCTTTTATGCTTTTGCCCAAGTCCCCAGGTGCCCCAAAACAGTTAAAGACAATTGAAAAAAGGCTCCAGCCCCTTCCTTTATGGTTATCCATTTTAGGCTAACCTTTCGATACAAATAACTCTACCCAAGGTTTCTGGAATATTGATGAGCCCACAAAAGCCCACTATAAAAGAATGGTCCTAACGGTAAAGCGTCCTTCCTTTCTCTTGCTTTCTGTTGCATTCCCCCACGTACATCTGTCCTGTCTATTAACTTTGTGCATCAGGGCATTTTACTGTGAACTTTCTTCTGTTACCATTTTTGTTTCATAGATTTTGGATCTACTGTACATTTGTTTCAAATAATAATTGTATATTGAATTCTAATCTCATCTGTGCATAGTATCTTAAACTTTTTGCGTGTATTCCTTAATTGTCTTGTTCTGTTGCTTAGAGTACTGACATTCGATATTTTGTTCTGTCATTTTAATTTTAAAACGATGTCCAAACCAAGTCTTTGTAGGAAATTGATGACCCTGAAAAGGGATGATTCAAAAACTGCTGTCTGTGATATTTGCAAGTTTGAATTTATATATTCTAAGAAATCGACAATAAACTTATTGAGACATCTACGACGAGTAAAGCACCATTTATTGAACTTGCATCGTTTGAAGACATGCCAAGCTCTGGGACTACTTCTGCCACTGTTTCTGCTGAGACCGCTGGTCCAAGTACAACAGCCAGTTCAAGCAGGCAAGCGACCATTACACAAACTTTGGAACGAGTGACAAAATACCCGTCAGGTAGTGACAGGAAAAAGGAACTCGACAAGTGCGTCCTGGACCTTATCACTGTTGACATGCAGCCCCTTTCAGTTGTCGAAAACAAAGCTTTCAGGAGGCTGGTACAGAAACTGGACCCAAAGTACGACATTGTGTCTAGGCGCATTATATCGTCTCAGTTGTTGCCTGCACAGTATCAAGCTCAGAAACAGCTTCTCAGGGAGCAAATGGACCAAGTCGACTACCTTAGCGTCACTACCGATTGTTGGATGTCACGGCAGACCAAGTGGTACATGACGATGACTGCTCATTTTATTACACCTGATTGGAAGCTGCATTCCAGAGTCTTGAACACGACGTCATGGAGCAACACCATACAGCGGAAAATCTGGCGTCCAAGCTTAAAGAGGTGTTTACTGACTGGGGTATTGGCAGGCAAGTCACGACTCTAGTAACAGACAATGCGGCCAATATGAAAGCAACCGTTGAGCTTCTGAAACTGAGACACCAGCCCTGCTTCGCACAAACTCTAAACCTGGCTGTGAAAGATGCCATCAGGAACACTGTGAATGTGTTTGAAGCCAAAAACAAAGTAAAACGAATTGTGTCATTTTTCCACCACAGTTCGAAAGCCAACAACACATTGAAAGAGGCACACAAGGCAAGACAGACATCTCCACGAAAGTTGATGCAAGACATAGAAACAAGCTCAACTCCTGGAGACATGGCCATACTCCAGAAAGCTCTACAGACTGGAGCCATTTTATGAGGCCACCTTGGAAATGTCAAGCGAGCAACTGACGTCAGTGTCTAAAGTGATCCCGCTCGTTTTTCTGCTGCGCCGCCTGACAGCATAAGATTGCTCACCACTGGGGAAGTGCCTGAATGATCAACTTTACGAACGATTCAGGAACGTGGACGAAAGAAGTCACTTGAGGCTAGCAACTCTGTTGGACTCTAGATTCAAACGTGAAGGTTTCCCTAGTGTCACTTTGTCAAACGCCGCTGTCGACAAGTTAAAAGAGAAGGCACAGGCCATTCTTCTGGCTCAGCCATCTGTGCAAGAAGGAACCACCGAAGGAAGTGATGCAGCTCCCACGTCTGCCAAGCGAGTTTTTAAACTCTAGGCACAATTTGACCAGCTGGTTAAGGCCAAGCCAAAGACAACATTAACAGGGGCAGAGCTGGAAGTTCGTCGCCACTTATAATCAGAACTCTTCCCAAGGGATGCCAACGCGCTAGACTTTTGGAGGGAGAAAGCGGACTCATCAAAGCGGCTTGCTAGAATTGCTAAAGACGTTCTCTCAATTCCTGCAACTTTTGTTCCCAGCAAAAGGCTATTTTCAAAAGCGGGGGAGCTTATCTCCAGGAGAAGGTCTCTGCTTTGAAACCATCAAAAGTTGACATGATTTTGCTTCTGAACAATGTAAAAAAACTCTTGATTTGACTGCTTCCCCATCAGAGGATCATTGTTAAGATAAATTATATCACATTGTTAATTACATTGTATAACTTTCAAAAAAATATCTTGCTGCTCTGTAACTGATATTATGTATATATATATATATATATGGAGAAAATGATCTTTGTTACTGTCAACTCTATTTGTCTCAAATAACTTTTAAAAATATTAGTATTTATTCATATGAAAAACTGAGCTGAAACCACTTAATAATAATAATGGATTGCATTTATATAGCGTATATCCACTTATGCAATGCTCTATGCGCTTAACATGATACATATTAGGGATTTACTTAGAACTAGACCTTTATTGATAGTGAGATAAGATTTTGAGTGGCAAAGTTTCATTTTTGCAGATTTTTTTTTTTTGTTGGTACTTTGTACTTATATTTTGTAAATAAATTAAATATATGTTGTAATTTTGAAATGTGTCCAAAATGTTGTTTCTCTTTTCATTAAAAAAAAAAAATTGCTGATTTTTTCAAAAAAGGGTATGCAATTTAGGGATGGGGGAGGGGGCGTGGTTTTTTCAGTTAAATTCTTGGATTTTGGAAGGATAATGTGGATCAAACTTCGCACCCTTCACAGATGAGATTGTGCACAGCTGAACATTAATTTCTGCAGCAAAAACGTTAATTTGATTCCCAGATATGAAGTTCGTGTATCTGCTATGATCTCCTTTTGTCTGTTAGAGTTAGGGTGTCTTGAAAACAGGGTCAAATCTTTCTGCTCCTAAATGATACAAATTTGAAGCATAACATATTACAATAAATCAGCTAACCTGAATATATCAAAATGATGGTTAAGAGGTTAACATTTCAGCTAGAATATAAAAGTTCAAATCCACTCGTAATGGGAGGGGGGGGGGGAGAGAGAGAGGGGGAGAGGGGGAGAGAGAGAGAGAGAGAGAGAGGGAGTTGAGGGGGGGGGGGGGGGGGGCAAAAAAACACAACTCTTTAGGACACAAAAAATGGCAAAAAATAGTCTTCAGAAATATGTTATTCAGTTCAAGGCAGTCGGTACTTGTAGCCTACTATGTGTTTCTGCTTCACCAAATATAATGACAAGGAAGAAGAAAGAACAAACCAATCTTTTAAAAATGATATTTTATTTTCTGGATGAAAGGCTGTTAACATATATATATATTCTGTTTTGGGAATCACACTTGTCTCTTTCGCTCATCTTCCGTAACACGCAACATTCTTGTACACACTGGCCAGTCACTGTGCCTTTACATTCACTCACGTCTGTCACAGTCACAGCATGCATTGTCAATCGTGTAAAACAAACAAGATGTGCTCACGATGCGTATTATCATAAGCTTTAAACATGCAGTGACTTCATTCGATGTAAAAGATTAACTGATGAGATTTATTTCTTCTCAATTTTGCATAATTTTACTGTCGAATAATGTCATTGCATGTTAGTTAAAATGCGTTGTCTGCACACCTCGTTCACCATCTGCCATGTTGACAGTGTTTCTTTCACACATCTTTTATACTTTCTCCTTGTATCATGCATTCACAAAGGCACAGTTTAAAGTTAAATGTGTTTACTGAAGAAAAGGGTTATTTATGATTATGATCTCTGTCGTCTTCTCAAGTACAAGTCATGATTCCGTAGTCAGTCCATGATCGTCTCTCTGAACTTGAGAGAGAAAAGGGTGCCTCTAGGTATCTTTTGAGAAATGAAGCTTGAGAAATCAAGTTAGAAGTATTGCATGTCCTCTGTTCCAAACCACAGGAAGTGGTCAGTCCTCGTGTGACCTTCATCTTTGGCGTCCTTGAGTGATTTTACCGTGACTCTAAAGCCAGCCCAGTCAAGTTTGATATCAAGACTGCCAAGACACTTCCCGGAAGTGATGTATGGCGGCAGACGCAGCAGCTCCTTCCGATCTGTGTATCGTCCGGTTACAGCATGGAATTGCTGAAAATGTGCAAAAACTCGAAGATTAAAAAAAGTGTCAAGCTGTTTTATATGATTTAGTGCTTTAACTACTCTGATGGAAATTGAAACACTTATCCGCTTATGGTAACAATTACCTACGCTCAGCAAAGAAATGCGTGTTCTTTATTATCGTGTGATCACAAGCCTATTCTACCTCAGTCATTCATGAAATTAATTATCGTATCTCTTTGTCAAGTACTCCAACACTGACGTCTGTGGTTTAATGTAATGGTGTGGGGCTGTAACTGTAAGCAGAAGGTGAGGAGGTCATTTCATCCTATTAGATCTTGGCCTGAGTTGGACCTGTCAGGCAGAGACGAGGCAGCCGGCCACTAAAATGATCTAAATTGTATCCATTGGGATGTGAATTATGAACAATAATTTACAATCAATAACCCGGCTGTTTTGTGATTGTAGCGAGGGGCTGCAACGGAAAGACCGGAACAATTTTCCAGCATACTTCGGATACTACTAGTAACTAGGCTTGAAGAGAGAGAGAGAGACAGAGAGAGAGAGAGAGAGAGAGAGAGAGAGAGAGAGAGA